GAGATTCAGATACAAAATCTTGCTTTAGGAAGGGAACCTTAGCATAATCATCTTAGCACATATGAATTAAGTGTGGCAGACAGAAAGGATCCAAGCAAAAATCTGTTTGCTAGACTCCCCTCTGTGTCCCGTTGTTTCTATGTGGCACTGCAAGAATTTGTTTACCAAATGTTTGCTCTTTTTCATCTACATAGGAATTGCCTACCTCCCCGTCCTTAGTCCAAAATGACGTGTATACCTCCTTTTGCTCATTGTCTTTGGAATTTTCATGCTTATGTGAATTCTCCGTGAGTACATATTAAAATGTGATTTTCTCCTGTTAATCTGCTATATGTTGTTGGAATTACTTGACCAGCCAGAAGAACTAAGAGGGTAAGGGGAAAGTTTCCCTGGCCCTGACACTAGGAAGATTCCAGAAGCATAAAACTACGGCAATTGTGAAGACCTGATTTTGGAGGACAATTCTAGTTTCAGATGATTTCATTCACTGAACCCATGGTGTTGATTTCTCTCTTTCCTTGCTCTTTACGGCCGTTCTTTTATATCTATCCATGCCTCTTCCAATACATCTATGTTGTTCCCACCTCCACCAACAGCTAGTCTAAGCTGCTATCAGTTCTCCGCAGGGGAAAGCATTAGCCTTTGCCCTCCCATTGCTGCTGTTGTCTCCTCTCAATCCCCACCCTTTCCCCACAATAGCCAAAGTAAATGTTTCAAACAAAAATCAGATCACTTTCACTACAGTGCTAAAACACCTCCTAATGGCTTCCCATCGCCTAAACCTTTCATCCTGATCTTCTTTTTTGTTTTTCAAAGATGTCAAGGTTGTTACTGCCTTAGGGTCTTTGCACTGGCCATTCTCTCAGCCTAGAACAATCTGCCCCAAGGGGTTGGCAGAGCAGGTTCTTTCTGGTCATGCAGGTTTCAGCTTAAATGTTACTTTCTGAAAACGGCCTTCTCTGACCACCCAAGGGAGCCTCCTCCCTCCCTTCTCATTCCCTTACCCTCCTTTTCTCATTATTACATTATCCAATTCTATAACTCAATACTTGTGACAACATAAAATTGTTCTTTTAAGGTTTTTTTCTTTGTTTTTTTAATTGATGATATAAACAGATGGTACAAAATTTAAAAGGTACAAGAATAAAAAGTGTCTCTCACTTCTTTGTCACCCAAACACACAGTTCTACTTCTCCTCAAAAGCAACAATTATTTCCACTTTCTTATATATCTTTCTAGATATGGTCTCTAAAATGACAAACAATATACACTCTTATTTTTCTTCACACAAAGTAACATGTATAGACACACACACACACACACACAGTTCTACATCTTGCTTTCTATACTTACCAAAAAAATTAAGGTTTTTCCATGTCAGTACATTATAACTCTGCCCCATTCCTATTCATTTGTTCAGCATTTCATTGTAATTGTATAGATCTCTCAATTAATGTAATTCAGTCCCCATGGATAGACATTTAGTTATTTTCTTTTCTTTTGCTCTTGAAAATAACCGAGCAATGTTATCATGAATAGCTTTAACACCATTGATAGTACCTAACACCATTTTGTACTTATGTAGGTGTACCTAGAGCTTGTATAGGTATGTATACCTAAGAGAGAAATTGCTGGTTAGAGGGTTTGTGCAAATTGCTGGATTAAGGGGTATGTATAATTTACAGCCTGATAGTGCTAAATTATCCTACATTAGCAGTGAAATTATCTTAGTCTTCTGTTTGATACTTGTTTATTTCCTGTTTCCATCCTCTGACCATGAGGACAGTGCCTTGTTCATCACTGGCTCCAGTGCCTCACACATGGTAAACTGCCATAAATATTTGATGAATAAGGAACCCTCATTGTAGACTATCCCCCAATTTTTGTTCTAAGAATATGGTCAATTTGCTTATGAGCTTTCAGCTTGCTGTACTGTTTCCTTTGTCTTTTTCCTCCCTGGACTGAGAATCATTTCTTACTCATCTTTAGTTTTCCTAGTGCACTGGCTGACACCCAGTAGGGCTCAATAAGCCTGAGTTGAAGAAATGAATCAATGACTTTGCAGGCTGTGACTCACATAGGAAACCAAATGCAAGTTAGGAAGCAGATTAAGCTAAGGGCTCAATGAGGAAGAAAGGGCCCTGGGCTGAAAAATTGAGAGAGGGAAAGGACTGGTAATTGTCTAGAGATGTAGGGCTGTGCTGGCAGGGAAAACCCTCAAGAAATGTCTGAGAGAGACAACACTCCATCTTCCACCAGGACAACATGACAAATGTCTTCACTGCATGAGTTTTCAAGAACCTATGAAATGTTTGAGAAATGAACTAATTTTCATTGTTAGCACCAAAATATAAGAAATTATCAAATGGATACAAAATGTAACAATATGTTAACTATTAGCAGCAGCTCAACTATATATAATATTTATAATTTTTTTTAAAGATTTTATTGGGGAATTGGGGGAGGGGAACAGACAAGTTGCTGTCCTTCAGTCTAGTTGTGGAGGGTGTCGCTTCACCGGCCCATGTTGGCATTATCATTGCACTCTTCCCGGGTGAGGCAGTCGCTTGCCGGCCATTGGATGGCCGCTCACAAAAGCTCACGCCTGTTGCCGGCTAGCCCCACTGCAGCCTACACCGTGGTGGGCGACTCACGGCAGCCCAGCTCCAGGTTGAACTGTTGTTCACCATCTTAGCTGTAGAGGGCGCAGCATCATTGGCCCTCATGTGGGATCCGAACCAGGGCCCTGCTGCTCAGAGCTGGTTACGCCAACTCTTAACCAACGTGCCACTCGGCCGGCCCCTATTTATAAATTTTATTTAATGTAGGGTGTTGCCACATTTTAATATGTTTGCTATAATATAGAATGAGTTCTCCAAAATTGGAAGCTTGAAAGTTCTAAAAGAGCCTTATTCTCTACCTCAGAGTTCTCTCAAAGGGAGAATCCTGCTTTGTCAAGATCTCATCCTCTTTAATCCTAAATTTTCTCATACAAAGATTCATTCCAGAGTTATAGCAAGGACAAAAAGAAATAATGTATTCTAAAAGGACTGATCTAGCAGATGCAAAGTAGTAGTAGCATCCAAAGGTTTCTGGTCAGCTCCTGGAGGGGCTGAAGTGTTATTTGGTTTTTTCATCTTCCCAGTCAGAATCAACTGGTGCTCCACTCCAGGGGACACTGTTTTTGTTTTGTTTTTAACTGGAAGAGGCACCATTCACAGAAAATACAATAGGAATGAGTCTCCTGGAGTTGTGCTTTGCCTAGCAGGTAGTAGAGCTAAGGGCACAATGCTTAAAGTGTGAATGAATGGAACCCAATGTTACTTCCTGCTCATCCCACCACCGCCACCACCACCACCCCGCCTCACCCCCATCCCACCCCCAAGATAAAAAGGAAAAGTTGACCAGGGTTGAAGAGAATGGGGGGGAAGAAAAGTCAGTCATTAATCCACACACATAAATTATGCATCTAGCTACAAGGCTTCAATGAGGGGTGTGTGTGTGTTGATGGTAGTGCGGGGAGGGGGGATGCTAAAACAAGTATCCTATTCCCAAAACTCCTCTTAATTTCCCTTGAAATATTACACCTCTCCTATTTTCAGCAAGGTCTGAATCACGCTGGTGATCTGACAGCCCTGGATTTGGCACCCAAAGTCTTAAGTTAATTACGTTGTTCGTTCATAAAAAAAAAAAATTTTTTTTAAGTTCTTAGCGTCTACCAGGTGCCCAACTCTGTACTAGTGCTGGAAATAGAATGGTAAACAAGACAGCAGAGGTCCCCATCCTACCTGGGGAAAACAGACCCCTGTATGTTGTTATATCACCCTTCAGGTGTTATCACCCTCAGAAGTGGTGTTTAAATTGAGACTAGAGTAATAAAAAGGAGACTAAGAGAAATATAGACGAGACAAAGCCAGGAGGCTGGAGAGAGACATGGCCCCTTGAGGCAGGTCTGGGGCAGGGGAGTGAGGGAGACCAGTGGGCAGGGGCCAAAGCGTGCAGGACTTGTGGACTTATTTTATCCTGAGGTAATTGGGAGCCAGTAAAGAATTTTTTAAGAAGAAAAATGACATGGTCAAATTTGAATATTTGGAAATGGAGCGTGGACTGAAGGGAGCGAAAAGTAGAGGCAGAGAGACTCATTAAGAGGCTACTGTGGGGGCCGGCCGAGTGGCGCGATGGTTAAGAACTCGCTTGGGACGCCAGAGGGCCCCGGTTCGGATCCCACATATGAGGGCCAGTGACACTGCCCTCCACAGCTAAGATGCTGAACAACAGCTCAACCTGGAGCTGGGCTGCCGTGAGTCGCCGGCGACGGCGTAGGCTGCATGAGTCGCCGGCGACGGCGTAGGCTGCAGCCCCTGTGGCAGTGGGTTGCCATGGGCTACCGTGTGTAGCCAGCAGCCAGCGTGAGCGGCCAGCAGCCGCAGTGAGCGGCCGTCCAGAAGCCGGCGACTGATCTGCCTCGCCAGGGAAGAGCGCAATGATGGTGCCAACTTGGGCCAGTGAAGCAACGTCCTCCACAACTAGACTGAAGAACAAAACGACAGCAACTTGTCTGTTCCCCTTCCCCCAATTCCCCAGCACTGTTCCCATCCCCCCAATTCCCCCAATAAAAATCTTTAAAAAAAAACAAAAAGAGGCTACGGTGGCTGTCTCAGCAACAGATGATGATGTCTTTAACCAGGGTGGTGCCAGAGGAGATGGAGAGTAATGGACAGTTCCAGGTACATTAGGAAGTGAAGTCCAACGGAGTTGGTGACATAAAAATACATCTACCTCAAATACAGAGAACCTGGGGAAGAAACAAAACGGATGTTGATAAAAGCCCACTTTATGTTGCGCTTCAATCCACCTGTCATCCTCCCTCCCTTAAACCCTGCCGCCTCTATATACATAGATGACAGTAATACAAGGGGCGGGGCAGGCGCCCACGAAAATCCGGGTACTTTTCATTTAAACGTAATCGACGTCACCGGAGAGAACAGGGAACACAGGGCACTTCCGGTTACTCCGGATGTGAAGACTCCTAAGCTCCACCATCGGCGGAGGGCCAGGGTGAAGGGATGGCCGGGCGGACGGCGCGGCTGATGTTGCTAGCCGGGGCAGCCGCGCTAGCCAGCGGTTCCCAGGGCGACCGCGAGCCGGTGTACCGCGACTGCGTGCTCGGGTGTGAGGAGCGGAACTGCTCGGGGGGAGCGTTGAAACACTTCCGCTCCCGGCAGCCAATCTACATGAGTCTAGCAGGTAAGCCCCGCCCCCTGTGAGCCCCGCCTCTTGGGCTTCGAAATACCCCTCTGCAATCTCTGAAACTGTTTCCCACCCTGGGCCCGTTGTAAGTGTGATTGGAGCCCCAGGGTAATGAGAGGCTCATCAGCCAGTTTTATTTTTCCAGAAACTTTAATTTACTATTTATTTAGTCAAACGGGTATTTAACACTAATAGGTACAAGGCCCTGAAATGACACTGAAATCAGACCGGGGTCCTGCCCTTCGCGGCTCACAGCCTTCACGGGACATTAACCTTCTCAAGTGCAAGGCAGAAGATAATTTGAGCCCTAAAGGACCCTTAGATAAAGCAATAGGAGCATGTAGGGGAAGAAGGAATCGTTTCTGGATTTGAGGAAGTGGGGGCAGCAGTCATTTTGAAACATTCCGAGAAGGAAGGGCTTCCAATGGATACATTTGTTTGGACCTGTGGAAATAGAGGGCACCTACTGTGTGACAGGTGTCAAAATAGTTCATTTTCACAACAATCCTTCCAGGTATATTCCAATTTGACAGCTGAGGAAACTCAGAGAGGTTAAGTACCCTGCCCAAAGTCACACAGCCAGTAAGTGGTAATATAGAGTTTTCAGTTCTGGCCTGTTGGACTACAAGTTTGTTCTCTTTATTGTCCTATTGCAATAAAGACAGAAGGAACAGAGAGAGTGGAGGCCCTGAGCAGATGAAGGCACATCCAGTGGCTTGGTTGACTCAGGGAGCAGGATGCATGAAAAAGAGTATTGGGAAATAAAGTCGGAAAGACAATGTGGGGCCTTACAAGTCAGACTGAAGAATGCGGGCTTCATTTTCATAGGAGGGGTAAGACGGCAAGGGTTCCTCCCTAGTGCGTGAGAACAAATTCTGTGTTCACGAAGGGCAAACACATAAACCCAGGTACCACAGATGAGTCCATCAGATGCCAAGATCCTCATTTGGGGTGAAAGGAGAAGAGAAGAACATCTCTATTTGCTCACTGTACACCCCCGCACCCCCTAGTGTGTGTGCGTGTGCGCGCACGCGCACACACACACACACACACACACACACACACACACACACACACCTTTCCCTATGTGTATGTCCCACCATCTCTCATTGATCCAAGCGGGAAACTAGAATTTTGAGATTTCTTCTGGTTATCTCCAACCTGCAGGGCCTCTTGACCTGCATTCGAGTTTGAGCCCCATTCAAGCTCTCTGTGCCTCCCATACTGGGGAGTTCACCAGGCCAATTTATCTGTTTCAGGCTGGACCTGTCGGGATGACTGTAAGTATGAGTGTATGTGGGTCACCGTTGGCCTGTACCTCCAGGAAGGTCACGACGTGCCTCAGTTCCATGGCAAGGTGAGTTAGAGAGTCACGGTAGGTAGATGGTAGTAGTGTAACAAGAATAAGATTCCCTCCAGCTGGACTACACTATCCAAGCCATCTGAGGTATGGGGTGATGAGTGTGTGTTTGGGGCAGGTACCTGTTCTTAAAATCTGCTGGTTCATCAGATGGGACCAATGTGTCCTGCCTCTGGATTTGGAGTGACAAAATCTGGGAGGCTTTGGGATCTCCTCAGAGTATGGTGCTGGGCTTCTTAGGGTGCCGAATGCCCACGTTGCTCAAGGACAAATTCCCTGACCCACCACAGCATCCCCTCGGTTGCTTCTTCAGTAGGAGTCTGGATTAAAATAACAATACCCAGTACCCCTCAGATTGCCCAGCAAGGCACAGTGTGCTGATGCCTTTTGACCCAATACGATCTTGTTCCAGCCTCTTGAGGTTCACAAGAATTATTCTCCCCAGTGTGTCACAGAGTCAGCTGAGGCTCAGAGGGCTGTGGTCAGTGGTAGAGGAGTGATTAGGACCTCTGTCTTCTGGATGGCAGGTCAGCGCTGTTTCTACTAGGCCACACTGAGCCATCTACCCTGGACCACCTGGTCTTCTCAGAGACCAGGCTTATAGTGCTAAATGCTGGCTGGGATCGAGGGATGACCCTCAGCCAGAGACTGGAGGGGAGCTCACTGATCCGAAGAGGAACTGAACCTGAGGCTTTGGCCAGGTCCAGAGCTCAGGAACGAGTGAGGGAGTTATTGATGCAGCAAGTCAGGAAAAGGCAGTTTGGACCACCGGGGTGGTTACTTGCCCCTCAGGCCCCCTCCATGTGTTCCGTTTTCAGTGGCCCTTTTCCCGGTTCCTGTTCTTCCAAGAGCCAGCTTCTGCTGTGGCCTCTTTCCTCAATGGCCTGGCCAGCCTGGTGATGCTCTGTCGCTACCGCACGTCTGTACCAGCCTCCTCTCCTATGTACCCCACCTGTGTGGCCTTCGCCTGGGTAAGTAACCTGGCATGATTCCTGCTTGACACCCTCATCTAAGAAAGAGGCACTCTTAAATCCCTGCTCTCACCCTACAGGGCTTCCACCCACCGAGCTGCCCCTCTGTTTTCCAGGGCTAAAGTTGCAGTGCAGCGTGGTCAGAACTGGGCAGAAAACAGGGATGGTGCTGAATTGGGCCTTACCTTTCTAGCAGTCCTAGGTCAGGCTGTTCGGGAGGGAGGGAGAGAGGAAAGAAACACTGTTCTTGTCCTGAAGGAGGAAGCCACTGGAAGACCCCATAGGGCAATTTACAAACACAGAAGGGAGATGTGTTTGGAGATGTGGTAGGGAGCACATTGGGACCACGGGTCTGTCCAACGGCCTCTCTGAAGGACTTGAAGCAACCTCAACCTCAGGTCAGGCCTGGAAGCAGTGGCAACCACAGCACTCCATCGAGAGTTCAGCCTGATCTTAGACCATCCCTAGAAAAGCTGAAATATGTTCCAGAGATGGCTCTGAGCTTCACAGTGTGACTGGTCAGAAAAGCCAGCATCCAGGATCGGGAATTGTGTGAGAAGCACGGACTTTGGTACAGACATGAACTGTGCCAACCTTGGGGAGGGTGTGAGAGTAAGAGGTTGCTATGGAGGTCCCTAGATCAGAGCTCCCACTGTAAGCCTTAGAGAAACAATCCCCACTCACTCACCTTCCTGCCACCAAAGCAGCCACTCATTCATGTATTGAGCACCTGCTGTGTGCCAGGCACTTTGCTGGGTCCTGGAGATCCAACAGTATATAAAAACAGATGGGTCCCTGCCCTCTGGTACTAATCATACTAATCACACAATTGAATGTAGAAGTGGCAGTGGAGGAGAGGTGCTCTAAGGACATGTGATGGGGGACGAGACCAGGACAGGGCAATCAGGGAAGGCTTCCCTAAGGAAGGGGCATATGAGGGAAGATCAGAATGGTGAGTGAATGGTAACTAAGTGAATTCGGGGAGATTAGGAGGAGTCATCTATGGAGAAGACTCCGAGTGTGCACAGGCTGGAGAGAGCTCAGGGTATATGAGGACCATGCAGGAAGCCAGGGAGTGGGGTGTGAGGCCAGTGGGCAGGTGGCCAGCCCATGGAGAACTGGGGGCACAGGAACACTTTAGATCTCGACTCTCAAAGCATCAGGCAGCAATGAGGGTCAGAGAGAAGGGGTTTCATGAATAGATTGCTTGCAAAATTCATTCTGGCTACTGTGTAGAGAACAGATTGGAGTGGGTAGGAGTGGATGTGCAGGGCTGGTTGGTAGTTTTAGCACAGGGCACAGAAGCTAGACTAGAGAGGTGGCACGGGTCTTAGGAGGTAGGCTATGAAAGAGAAGCGTGTTTGAGCTGTTTTGGAGGTGACATTAAAATTTTTTAAAAATTATTTGTTTAACAAACACATACATAACTCTACTGTATGCCAGGCACCATTCTAAGCATTTTATAAATATTAACGTGTTAATCCCATGCCAAGCTTATGAGGTAGGTAGTATTATTACCCCCAATTTGTAGATATGGAAGCCAGGCCTGGAGTTAAACAATCTGTCCTAGGAGCCACGGTCTGAATCCAGGGATCTGGCTCAAGTCCACACTTACCATCCTGGCTGTGCTGACAAGCCTCAGGTTAGATGAGAAGAGAGGAATCAAGGAGGACCCCTGGGTTTCTGCTTATGAGACAGTGATAGAAGCTGTGAGTGTGGATGAGATCACCAGGGAGACCTTAGGCAGCGAGAAGAGAAGGGGACTAGGACGGAGCCCTGGGGAACCTTAAAACTTGATGGCTGGCTAGAGGAGGACGAGCTAGCAATGAAGACAGGAATGGCCAGAGGTGTAGGTGCAAAACTAGGACATCGTGTGGTTCGGGGAGCCCCAGGGCAAGGACAGGAAGGAGAGAGTAGGCCGTTCTCCCGAATTCTGCTGCACCATCAAGGAAAACGAGAACTGAGGACTTTCGGGTAGTGTGGGGATGCCGAGAAGTCCATGCTGAGCGCCCGACTGGGGAGATGGGACTCGGGAGGAGGGCCAGGAAGGAGGCTGTTAAGCCTCTGGGAAATGCCGATTCTCCCTAATCCTGTCCATGCAACAAGTATCAATAATTGTTAGGAATTATGGGACACAAATCATGTGATGGGCATTGCGCTACGTACTTTACCTACATGTTCTCATTCAGTCCTAAACCACTGTGAGCTCTGAGTAAGTCTCAGAGGGAAAACAAACTTTACCCAAAGCCAACAGCCAACAAGATAGCCAATAGCGGAGACGGGACAGGTTGGCATCCAGGTCTGTCTGATTCTGGGGCCCAAGCTCTGAACCCCTCTTCTGGGTTGTCTCCATGGACTTGACAAATGTTGGCTGAGCATTTGCTGTGGGTAGAGACAGGGGTTGGCACTTGTGGGAGCTGAAGCCGCTGCCCCAGAAGCTGAGCCCAGTGGGGAGGTGCGGGTCCGGCCAGCCTGGGAGGCAGAGTGCAGGCAGAGCCAAGGCGTGCTCGGGTAGAGAGCACGGGAGTCGGGACATGGGGACACCACATGGAGAAGTCTGTTGCGAAAGCCCAGGGAGGAGGAGGGGCCTCGCCTGGGACTTGAAGGCCTGCTTAGGCTTAAACACACACCTATGTGGGAAAGAGCATCCCAGACTGGGGCCACAACAGGAGCACAGGTACGGAAGCTGGAGAATGTGGGGCCTCAACAGGCAACCTGGGAAGGTCAGCCTGGCCACTGTGTGGCTGTGTGACGGGGAGCAGAGGGAGGGAAGGTAGAGCAGAGGCCCTGGAGTGCCAGGCTGAGGGGCAAGGACTGCTGCAGAGGCAGGGGCCTGGCATCAGCACACACTGTCACAGGCCTGGGTAGGATGGATAGAGTCACCACTTCCTGTGGATGCCCCTTGCAGAGAAGGGAATTTGGTCCTGGCTAAGAAAGCAGGAAGGACATGGAAATTGAGGAGGGTCCACCTGTCCCCTTTCCCTTGGGGTTCTTCCAGGGACTCTGCTTGTTCTGTCCCACCGCCTGCACCACCCCCTCACCCCTGCCCCTAACAGAGAGCAAAGTGCAGCCCTGTCTGAACTCTCTGATTAAAGCTCAGAGTGTCCCTGGATAGACCCCAGGGGTCTGAGGGGGCCTCAGAGGGTCCCAGCCTTTGTCTTCATGATGTGCGCCAACAGCCAGTGGTCATTTCACAGCTCTTGTCTCCGTGTCCCCGATTCTCGAGTCTTCCGTCTCACTGTCATCTGCCACTCAGCTCACTTCTCAGTGAGGTGTCACGCTTTCCATCCACACCCGAGGACTCGCAGGAGCAGCAGAAGCTATTAGATTGGGAGAGGACGGTGCCTGGGGCCCGTGTCTTCACGCACCCTGCAGTACATGGTGTTCTGGGACATGGAACCCCCTCTGCCACCACCAGGCCCTCGAGGGACAGAGTCTCAGTGTCCACAGTCCCTTGGATGATCCAGTCTGGATTTTACACGTCATCTTTCGTCCTGTGTGTGTTTGCAGGACAGAGGGATCCTGCCTGTATGGAGGGTGTGGCAGTGGACTTCGCCTGGAGCAGTGGGGCTCCTGATTTCTGTTGGGGTGGGATAGGAAGGCCCCTTACCTCCTCCAGGTTAAGTCTTGGGGGAGGGGTTTGTCTCAGTCTTTTTCTCTGGGAAATGAGGAGACCCTGCCCCCAGCAAAGTTAGTGAAGCTTTGGCACAAGAAAGCAGCCCCTGCCCTGACATTTAGGCCTGAGCTTGGGCTGGACAGTGGCCAGGCTTTCAGGGAGCCCACGAAAGCTCGGTACACCACGGACCTTTGACTTCGTGGACTGGGGGCCCCTGCTCTCTGCCAAAGCTGGAAAGCCAAACTAGTTTCCTGCCCCTTCATCCAGCAAGAAAAGGTCCTCAGGGGGGGAGGTGACAGCCTGAGGGTGGCAGGATGATTTGTGGACGTGGGGACTGACTGTGCTCGACCTCTGCTGAGGAAACTATGAGAAGACGTAGGTTGAGGCTGCAGTGGAATGATGGTTAGATTTCAGGAAGGACTTCCTGACAGTCAGACGAGAGCCAGTGGAACAGGCAATGGCAGGAAATCAAGGAATCCTTTCTGAGGGTGGAAAAAGCCCCCTTCTTCCCATCTCCATCCACCTCTTCCCCTCTTCTCTCTCAGGGGTGAACTGGGGCAGGTTTGCTCTGCGTGAGGCAGGGGGTGAGGCACTGTGGCCTCTGGGGGGGCCCAGGATGGCAGCAGGCATCATATTTAACATTCTGCCTCCCCCACTTCTGAGACACCGAGCTATTTAAAGACCCACTTGTCCCCACCACCACGGTGTCAGTGACAGTCCCGAGCACTGGGGCTTAGCACTGGGGTCGAATTCCTGACAGATCTGGCTCACTTGGCATCCAACCAGTTTCACGGCTGTGATATTTTTGTCTCAATTTTCTTATTTTCCAACAGACTGAAACAGCCTCCTGCTCTTCCTCCACCCAGCCTTCCCTGTCCCCCTCCATTTCCACCCTCACTGGCACCCTGCCCCTGGCCTCCCCCTCTCCTCCGTGTTTACAAGAAGTTCTTGGCGCCTGCTGGGCCGGCCCATCCTCCTCCTGGCCTGTCTGATTGGCCAGTTACCCCATCTGCCCCCACATTCTACTCGAGGTTGGCTGAGGAGGCCAGGAGCAGCCGTACACTTGCATCTTGGGGGCTTTCCCTTCCTTCCACGTCCCTCTGTCCCCTTTGCTTGAGTCTTGATTACAAACTGAGTGAAGGGAACTAGTATCTGTTCAGTGCGTCCTGGTGGGATAGCAGCTCAGGAGCCAGGAGGAAGGGGCTGTCCCTATAGCTGAGGTGTCTGCATTCTGGGATTGAGAGACCCTGCAGCCCCATGGCTTGACCTGGAACATTGTGACCCTTGAAGAAGAGGAAGGTGGGGTCAGGTGAAGGGAAGCGGTGGGAGGTCAGCCTGTTGGACATGATGAAGAAAACTGGCATTTATGGGGCACCTACTGTGTACCAGGCAGCAAGAACAGCAACCATTTATTGAGTGGTTTCTTCGTGCCTGGCTTTCGCAGACATCATCCTCACAACCCTCTCATGCAGTGGGTATTAACCCTGTTTTGTAGGTGAGGCCACTGAGGCTCAGAGAACCTGTTATTTGCTCAAGATCACACAGCTATTTAGAGGCTGAGGTAGAGCTTGAACCCAGGGTCCATCTCATTGTGAAGGCTCCGGACATCCTGCCCCCAGCCTGGAACTGTGGGACGGGCCTGGGCAGCTATGGGGAGACCACCCCTTCTTCGCCTAGACTTCCTTGGCCCACAGAAGGCAGACTTGGCCTCTCAGGTCTGTGGAGAGGTGTGAAGGTCCCACGCTGGTCAACAGGTGGGGAGAAATGACACCTAATGTTTTATCCTGTCTTGGGCACTGGGCTATACATCATACCTGCATGACTCCTTCAATCCTTATCAACACTATGATTATTCACATTTTACAGATGAGAAAACTGAGGCACAGCTAGGCTAATTGATGTGCCCAAGGACACACAGGAAACGCTGAGCTGGGATTTGAACTCTGGCCGTCTGGCCCTAGGGCCTGCATTCTTAATGACACTGTCTCCCAGGTCTGAGGAGAGGATCAAAAGAGGAGCCCTCCATAATGGGACACTCCCCAGGGAGAGGAGATTTTTCAGGAAGACAGAGTTGAACAGACGACCAAGTAGTCCCCACCTCTGTGTCCTACAGCTAAGCCCTGGTCCTGTGCACACTGCCTGCTTTCCTTGTTCCAACCGCCACTTAGATCAGCCTTTTTGTCACCTCCCCCTTCCTGCCAGGTGACAAGGACTCCTGGCTAGCTTCCAGTCCCTGCTGCCTTCCCCTCCTCCTCCCTCTCACACTGGCTCCAGGGCTGTTCTCTCCCCAAGGATGTCCCTATACCTGGCCTGCCTAGAAGATCTGGCCCACATGATCACCTGGGGCTGCAGCCCTCATCCTGCTCCTCTCCCGGTGCTGATCCTGAGCATCACACTTTGTGGGAACAGTATCCAAGAAGCCACCCTATTCTGTCCCGTTTTCTAGCTCCCATTACTGTCTCTGGGGAAGGGGTAGCATGAGGGATGGGATAGGATGGCTGTTCTCAAAGGAGGAAGCAACCTGACCTAGAATAATCAGCTGACATCAGGGCTGGAAAGGGATGAAGGAGCACTCAGGCCAGCCCCTGATTTGTCCCAGAGGGAACCTCAGGCCTTTGCCCAGGACAAAGAGGAGCATAAAGAGTGAGAATCACCCCAGGATCCAGGCCAGACAGGCTTGTACCAGGAGCCTCTAGGGCAGCGGTTCTCAACCTGTGGGTCGCGACCCCTTTGGGGGTCGAACGACCCTTTCACAGGGGTTGCCTAAGACCATCGGAAAACAAAAAGATATTTACATTATGATTCATAACAGTAGCAAAATTACAGTTATAGAGTTGCAACGAAAATAATTTTATGGTTGGGGGGGGGTCACCACAACATGAGGAACTGTATTAAGGGGTCGCAGCATTAGGAAGGTTGAGAACCGCTGCTCTAGAGACTTCCAGGTCTAACTAGCTTTGCAAGGAGAGCCCTGCTGGTCCCCTCCCCATGGCCCTTCCCATTCTCTCAGAAGCCCCCTCTGTCCTGCCTGAGGGAACTTATCCTACTATCTGAGCTTCCTGCTGCAGAACCCCTACCCTGCTCCCTTGCGCCCTCCCTGCCTGGCCTGTTTTCCAGACGGAGTGAGCAGCTCCTGGCCTTTTCCCATCTCTGGCAGGGTTGTCCCACCCTAGTGCATCCCTCCCTACCTCCCTCCCAACCTCCGGGGCATCCAGGCTGGCATTTCTTTCTTTGACTGGTTGTCACTGGTTTCCCAGCCCTTCCTCTCAGCCCATGTATCTCCACCCCAGCCCACCCTCCTTTCAGTAATTTGGGCCTCTGTATCAACAGATACAACAGTCTCTGAAAAAAAGTGCCATCACACTCCCACAAGATCTAGGGCTCATTTGCAAGATGATCTGTACTCTCTCCTTGCAGTTAATTTCCAGGAAAAAGGCCTCAACCGTTCCCCTGGGCCCTTGCCCACCACAGCGCCTTCAGTCCTGCTCCTCTGCTTCTCCCAGAGCTCTGAGCAGCAGCCACTGGTCTGGCGGGTTAGGCCGGCCCAGCCAGGAGGGAGCTGGGCTAGTTGGGGAGCTGCCTCCTCAGAGACTTGGCCCCAGTGGGATCTGCTTGATCTCCCTCCCTTGCTTGCTTGCTCCGGACACACCCCAAGCTGGCTCGAGCCCCTCCACCCCACCCACTTCATTCCCGCCCCCAGAGGCTGAGGTCACTGGCTCCCCTGGCCTGGGTGGGGCTGTCATCACCTGCCAGTTGGGGAAGGAGGCAAGCTCCCCCCACCCCCCACCTCCCACCCCCGGGGGCTGTTGTCTTAGCGATTGAGTAACCAGGGAACTTGACTTGGCTGGAACTGGTTCCCAGGCCAGGCTGGAAACCTGTGGAGGCTTCAAGCCCCCCACCCTCCTTGAGAGTTCAGGGTGGTGGGAAGCTGAGCCTGAAGGGGCTGGGCTGGGTGCGGATGGAGGGGCACCAGTGGGCCCCAGGAACAAGGGAAAGCGCTTTTCTCCACTCAGAAGAGCCCCTTCCCCAAAGTAAGACAGACGTGAGCCCTCTGGGGGCCTTCCCCACCTTGGGGTGCCACACTCACCAGCTGCCTCTCTCCTCAGGTCTCCCTCAATGCTTGGTTCTGGTCTACAGTCTTCCACACCAGGGACACGGACCTCACTGAGGTGAGCGCCCCTCCTGCCCCCTCTCCTGCCCTTAGAGGGGAGGGCTGGGCAGAGCCGACTCTTAGGTCTCTTGCTGACTCCATTTAGGGAGCACCTGCTCTGTGCTGGGCATTTAAAACCTGTTAGTGAGTGCACTTGAGCCTCACTTAACCCTTGGGAGGTAGGTGTGATTATTGGCTCTTAACTGATAGGCAGCTGAGCCTTGGAAAGGTGAAATCACTTGCCCACAATCACCCAGCCAGTCAAGGGGTGCCATCCGGGCTGAGGCCCACAGCTGTGGGACTCCAGACTGCGCTCTGAATTCGAGGACATGCTTTGATGTTCTGGAGTTTGGCAGGCATTCTCCACTAATACCTAAAGCTTTGCTGCTTGAGCAGAGCTTTTAAAAATTGTATACTGTGAATACATGGGTCAGTCTGTTAAATTCAGAAGTGAAAAAACGGTAGGCAGAAGGAGCAGGAGACCCGGACCCCACTGACCACAGGCCTCAGACTCTGGCTGTGCCTCTGCTCCCAACCCTGGTCGGTCCTCGCTGGGCCCTGCCCTCCATGAAGCCTTGTCCACCTCCTAATCCCCTCATACTGGCCCCTCATCCAGCTCTCCCTGTCCTCAGAAAATGGACTACTTCTGTGCCTCCGCCGTCATCCTGCACTCAATCTATCTGTGCTGTGTCAGGTGAGCCCACCTTGGGAGTTGTAGGGACAAAATCAGGCCCTGGGGGCAGGGAGGGGTCCCCCAACCCTCCCCTGGGGGCGCTGTCCCCAGCGCCTTCTTCACCAGTCCCTCAGTGCACACACTGAGGAGAGGGCCAGTGGCTTCCATGTGCTGATGCTGGGGTGAGGGGATGCTTCAGGGAATGCTGTTCTGGGGACGGGCCACCCTCCATCTGAGCAGCTCTGGATGGTGGGGCAGGACCGTGGGACTGCAGCGCCCGACTGTGGCCAGTACCTTCCGGGTTGTCCTGCTGCTAATGCTGACGGCGCATGTCTCCTACCTGAGCCTCGTCCGCTTCGACTATGGCTACAATCTGGTGGCTAATGTGGCTATTGGTGAGGCGGGACTGGGGCCCCGGGAGCTGGACCAGAGGCAGAGCTGCTGGTTTGAAGTGCGGGGGAGGGGGGGGACAGGGGGTGCTGCTCCTGGAGAAGGAGGTTCTAGAGAGATCCTTGGGGTGGGGGAAGGGGAAAGATTTGAAGTAGGAGAAGGGAGAGGCTGGGAGGAGAGACTGAGGTGGTCCTGGGGTCAAAGAGCACGGGGGCTATTGGAGGCTTTGGTCGGGGTGAAGGGGGCCCAGGGCGTGAGCCTCTCCCCACCCCCACCGCCCCAGGCCTGGCGAACTTGGTGTGGTGGCTGACCTGGTGCCTGCGGAACCAGCGTCTGCCTCATGTGCACAAGTGCATGGCAGTGGTGCTGCTGCTACAGGGGCTGTCCCTGCTGGAGCTGCTGGACTTCCCACCTCTCTTCTGGGTCCTGGATGCCCATGCCATCTGGCACATCAGTACCATCCCCGTCCATGTCCTCTTTTTCAGGTGGGTACTACTCCCTGTCCAGGGCTCACCTTCCTTGTGCCCTTCCGCATCCGCTCTGTAGGGCAGATGGAGTTCGCTGCCCCTTTGCCCCCTGCCAGCTTGCCTGCACTCACCCCACCCAGCCCCCAGGGGGCGCGCTCAGAGCCAAGCCTCAGTGGGCTTCTTCCTCGGCTCACAGCTTTCTGGAAGATGACAGCCTGTACCTGCTGAAGGAATCAGAGGCCAAGCTCAAGCTGGATTGAAGGCCCTGGGAGCGAGTCTGCTCTGTTAGGGACTCTGCCCCCTCCCTGCTGGCTCCCCTTTTCCCCCCGGTCTTTGAGAGGATTTATTTTTTCCCTTTTGCATCTTGAACTTGGATATGAAGGATGTGGGCCCAGAATCATGTAACCTGCCCACTCCCTTGGTCGCCCCCACGTGGCCCTCACAGGTCTTGGCGTCTGTTCAGGCCTGGCCTCTGAGCACCTGGGGCTAGGGAATGGGCAGCCCCTCTGGTTCCTGAGCTGAACTGGGATAGAACTGTGTTCTTAGCTCCACCGAGAAGAAGACAGCTGCCTCTGCCTCCCCATTAGCTTCCTCTTCACTGCCTAGGTGGTTCCCCTAGCCTTCTGTCTAGCTGGGAGACAGGGTACCAGGACTTCAGGGATGCAGTGGGGTCCCCTTTTGTGACACCACCCTCCCCTGTGCCCTCCTCTAGGGACCACTAGGTGGCACTAGATGCTTGCTCTTTGGCTGCCCCTGTTTCAAGGAAGCTCTCATCCCCCATGAGATTTTGAGGGACCAAGCTGTTGGGATTGGGGATCAGTCTCATGCTGACGATTGCCCTGGCCAGACCCCAAGAGGCCACACTCTCCATTCGGGGCCAGGACCCCAGAGAGCACAGGACAGGAATCCCTCCGTGTTGCTGTCCTGGTTGGGAGCCTGCACACAAATGTGTACAGGCGTGTGGACCAGACCAAGTGCATAGGTGATGGGGCGGTGGGCCCAGGCCTGGGTGTGTGGGAGCCTGGGCCTGCTCCAGTATAGAGAGTGGCTTTAAAGTGTGTGTGTTGGGGGGCAGGTGGGTTAGTGTGGGTTACGGGAATGAGGGTAAGATGAGCGTTAGCGCAGGTGAGTGTGCCACACAGTGGGGGGCATTGGAGCAGGATGGGGGAGTCAAGTCACAATCAACAACCATTTATTGAGCACCAACTGCACAAAGCCCTAGGCCAGGCAGAAAGCCAGGATATCCCCAAGACCTGGGTGGGAATATGGGCGTCTAGGCTGCACGTGTGTGTATGTGTTTCTGTCTGTTGCCCCCCCACACCCTTTGCAAACCACGTAGGGCCCACACACAACTCAAGATCACCTTCTAGAACCAGCCACTTGGGAGGCAGAGGAAGGAAAATGGGGATCCTCTGGGCCCCTCCAGTCTCCCTGTCTCCTCCCCCACCCCAGTGTCCTGCTTGTTAAACCCCTTTGCCAAAGCCTGGACCCTGGGGAAGGGGACGGGCAATCTGAGGGATTAGGGGAAAAGGCGTATGGTTAGGTCTGGTTTCCAGCCTTCCCAAAGGCAGGCAGGGGCCGCTCTGTGTCTGTACCCTGGTAAAGGTGACCCCTGCCAGTTGCTGGCAGCCCCGGGGTAGAATGTGGAGCTCCAGGAACTTTCCATCCGAAGGCAGTCTCCGTCACTGGAGCGGGGAGTCTGGGTTCTTGTCCTCCCCCTGCCGCCTTGGCCCTTCCTGGGGTAGGGGCACTACGCTAAGACTCCAACTGAAGGGACTTGGGTGGCCTGTGTTTATTTCTTTTGATACTGAGAACCATTTTAAGATTGGAAGGTAGCAAGGGACATTCTTAATAAACCAATTTTCAGCCTCATCTACTCTTGTTCAGCTCATTTGTGTGAGTAGGGGGGGATGGAGGGAAGGAGGAGACTGCGCCGGCTGGGAGCAGCAGACAGGTGGGATCCCGACCTAGGTAGTGGGGGTGGGGATGGCAGGGACCAGATACGGAGCAACAGCAGAGCTGCACAGAGCTCCAGTCCAGCTTCGGGGGGAGGGGGAGCTGCCGGAGGGAGCTGGTGCCCAGCCTTCCCCTCTCACATCCCTGTGCCTGGATTGTAACCCTGACCCCTGCAAGTTCCACTTCAGTCTTTTAATTCTCCTCCCTGTCCTCCCCTTCTGGTCTGAACCTTTCTGAGCTTCACCTGCCAACAGGATAATAGGACCTGCTGCTGAGTGTGAGGACCAAATGGACCTAGTAGGTGTGTGGCACATAGATGCTGACTGAGGTCCCTCTGACCAAGGCCTGCCTTAGTTTGGGAAGAATGAGTGATACAAAAACCTATGTTCATGGAAGCTTCTGGAAAAAAGGCTAGGATTGGTGCCTCCCACACCCCCACAATACAAGAGAGAGCTCGGGGCCCTTGTCACTTCCCGGGAGAACCATAGACAGCACTGACACTTGGCAGCAGAGACATTTCTTTATTAGGTGCCACTTCAGATAATAGGGAATCTGGGTGGAGGAGGGCTGCCAGCACTGGGTGCATTGGGGCCTCACACCCTGACCTTCTGGGCCCAGGCAAAGAAAATGCCCTTGACATCGTCTACGCCTGTCCGAAGATGGGCAGGCATGGTGTAGGTGGACAGGTCCCGTACCTTATAGCCGCTACGCACCAGGGCCTCCCTCACCTCCTCCTCACACACTGGCACCACCGCCAGCCTGGCCTCCCCAGCCAGATACCATGACTCCTCCAGGGCCCCGATGAGGAGGAGGTGCCCCTCAGGCCTCAGCAGTGTGGTGATGTGGTCCAGGGCCCGCTGAAAGCTGGCAAGGTCGGGGCTCACTGCCTCCAGGCAGAAGGCCGAGACCAGCGCATCGGCAGGAAGGGGCACCAGGTCCCCAGCACCCAGGGGCTGGGGCTGGTGCACATCGATGGGCAGGACCCGCTTCACCCTGGCTCGCAGCTGTTGCTCCTTCTCCTGCCAGGACTCACTGTGCAGGGGTAGAAGGCGGCGTCAGGACCAGACTCAGGACTGCCCCACACTCAGTCATGTTTCCCCTCCCACCCCCCACCCCCACCAGCAACTCCATAGGAGGCTCCCACCCAGCCCAGCCCTCATCCCCTAGCCCTTACCCTTTGTCCTCAATGAGGCAGACATGCTGGCTGTAAGTGCTCCAATCAAAGGCCCCCGGTTCCTCCCGAAGCCAGAGCCCCAGCTCCTGGCGATTCACCTCCAGGAAGTCTGTCATGGTGATGTCCTCAAAGTGGGCGCAGGCGCTGAGCAGCTGGTATATGGTGGGGCCTGAACCAATGTCGATGAGGGCGCGTCCAGACACCTCACCTGGGTGGGGCAGAGAAAGGAGGGTCCCGGTGCCAGGCCTGTCCAGGTGGACCCCTGCCTCAGTTACTCCTCCTTTACCGGCTTCTCCCTTCCTCTCTCTTCCCTTCTCTGTGTGTCTCTACCTGGAAAAAGCATTGGCTCTGGAGTCTGAGTCCGGGCTCCAACTTCTACAGACTTACCTTGGGAAAGAAACTTAAGCCCTCTGAGACTCAGGTCCCACATCTGCAAAGCTATACCTACCCGTGATGACTAAGTGGGGAAATCTGAGGTGCCTGGCAGTTTCTCCCAGTTGTTTCTCTCCCCTCCCTTCTTTCTGTGTCTCTCCTCACCTCTCAATTCTGAGCATTCTCCGCTCCCCAACCCTCTCCAGGGGGCTGGCTCTCCTCTTCCCCTCACTTCAGTGGTTCTCTTCCTCTTTTATTTTCACCTCTTAACTACCTAACTCAGCTTCTTGGTCCCCATCTGAGTCTCACACGCCCCTTTAGCTCCCTGATAACTTGCCCTCTATGCCTTGGTTCCCCCGGTGCTCACCCACCGGTGGCGAAGGTCTGCGCCAAGCAGCGCAGCTTCCAAGGCCCGACGCCGTCAGGGCTGCTCAGGTCCCCCCGCGGAGGCGCGTAGTTGTTGCGGAGGTAGGCGCGGGGCTCGAAGCGCTGGTAGGCCGAGGCCACTGCTTGCCGGCCCGGGTGCGAGTCAGGGACTACGCCTGCTGTGTGGCTCGGGTCTGCCTTGCTCATGCTGCCGCCGCTGCCTGCCCCGGTCCCCGCTCTCGGCGCAGCCCCTTTAACTGCGTCCGGACCCCCGCCCCGACCCCTCCGCTGCGTGGGCGGCGGTCAAGAGCGGAGCCGCCTGGGGCCACGCGTACTGCGTCTCCCCTACCCCATCCATCTCCTTTAGTGTCCCGGTGGCAGACACACGGGGGTGTGGGCGGCCGCCGCGGGAACATCTGTTCCCACCCCTGTTCACTGTTGCGCCCGCTGCCCTCCACCCTGTGCCTTACCTGGCCTGCCCCAAGTCCTGCCTCCACGACCCGCACCTCAGGTTCACGCCCCATAATCCTTAGATCCCCGACCCCGCCAAGCCCAAGCTCCTCCCGTCGCTCTTCTTCAGCTCCCGCAGCCATAACCACCTTTTGCCCATTGTGCCACCCCTTTTCTTTTGCCAGGGTTCGAATTAGCCCTGTTCCCAGTCCCCGTCTCCCAGAGCCCTCCTTCCAAGGACCCAGTCCCCCGCCAGACTCCCGTTCTCCGGGACACCCTGTCCAACATCCACTCCTTTCTTTAGTAAGGTCACCCAGCTACCCGTCTCCGCCCCTCCTCCAGGTGCCTTCTTCATCCTTTCCTGCCCTACCCCAGTCCTGCAGCACCCCTCCACCCCACCCCTCCCGGCTCACCCTCACTGCAGAAAGGACAGTCCGTTCTGGCCTCCGCCACGGTTGCCCCGGGGCCGCACGACGGAGCTCACCCCATCCGTCCGATGGCAGCAGCGATAGAGAAGGCGAGCAGGGCTAATGTATTTAGTGGTTGGAACAGGCGGACTTCCTCTAAGGGCCCTGCGGGCCCAGAGCATCTTATCTGGGGGCTGCCGAGGGTGGAAGGCTCGGGACGTTCCAGCCATGTCCGGGGCGCAGGACCCAGGTGAGGGCGGGAGAACGCACAGTGCATTTTCCAGGCTGCCAAAGCCCAGGGACGTGTCCGGGCCTTCGGCTGCCAAGGGGTTTAGGGTCCCACCCGTCTGGGGTTTCTGACCCCTCTCCTCTCCCAGCCCACACTCCAGCCCTTTCGGGGGGAGCAGGCCAGGCCAGGCCCGCAGGTCCTGCTTGGTGCTCCAGGTACTAGGCTGTCAAGATGCCAGGGTCTCCTCTCTTATCCCCCCAAATAGGAAGTGGATGCTGCAGGGCTATCTCCATGGTCTTCCTGGAACGGGACCCCTCTGTGTCAGTCAGTGCCCCTCTACCCTGGGTAGGTTACCAGCCCCTACCAAGATGGGTCCCTGGCCTCCTCTGTACACCGCTGCCCACCACCTCTTGTCCCAAGGGGAAAGTCTCTCCTTGTTGGGCCAGGCAGCCAGGTTGGAACATGAGTCATCACAACAGCTGCAGGGGTCACAGACAGGAAACTGACCCTCCCCCCCACACACACACACACCCCGCACCCTGACAACCCACCCTGGGCTCTCAGGATAGGGAGGGTGGAACACCTGACCCCAGCCAAGGACTGATTCTGTCTGGATTCAGAACTGAGGCAGGTCAGCCTTCGGACCCCATCCACACCCTGAGGCATAGCCAAGGACAGTCCTGGTGCCAGGTCCTGCCATAGTCTCCAGGAGATCATTTAAACAAACCCTGGATGCCAACTGGCCTCCAGGGCACTTCCCAGTGCCAGTGGCCTGGACACGGAGACCAGGACTAGACAGCAGAGTCAGGGCACAGAAGGGGGACTGGACAGCCACCCAGCTTACATCTCTGTTCCTCCCCCCACCCCAAATGGGGGGTACCCACTAGCTTTGCCATATTTAGCTCAGATGCAGGGTCTGTTCCAAGAAGTGAGCCGGGGGTCTGTTCCAAGAAGGTGGGGGGGCACCAGTGGTCAGACCCACACAACCACAAGGAAAGACATGAAACTGAAACATGACTGAGCATTTATTACAGCGCTAACAGGGGTGCTGGGGGCTCCAGCCTGTCTCCGCCCTCTTCACATCCCCCTCCCGCCCCGTCTTCTTCAAGACTCCTTCCCAGATCATTCCAGATCCCCTTACACTTTTTCTTGTCCTTCTCTGAAGCTGAAACCTGGACCAGGGTCACCCCTCTCAGGGGCCTCTCAAGCTCAGCAGCATCTTTTGTCCCTTCTCCTGGGGCTGGGGGTACTCAGTTGTGCTGGCCCCAGCTCTCTACCCTCAGTGCCCACTATCTTTGCTCCCCTCCTTTTGGGAACTCAGGGGACCCAGGCATCCTGGCCTCTGGTTCCCTCCTCCCCTAGCCCCCAACTCTGGGCAAACTACAAAGCATCCATGGCCACCAGCTCCCCTCCATGGTCCTAGCCAGGAAGGGCCCCCAGCCCAGGGCGGGCACAGTGGAGCCCAAATCACAGTCCCTCTCAGCCTCTCTGTGCTTCCTGGGACAAGGAGCGGGACAGAGAGCGACGAAGGGCACCTGGCTTGCTGACAGGCACCACAGGCGGCAGCTGCTTGGTGATCTCTGCCACATCCTGGCGCTCCACACACTGGCCACCCAGGGCTGTCTCCAGTGCCAGCAGCTCCTGCAGCTGGTTGGGGGCATCCTCGCGTTCCTCCTTGGCGGCACCCATCTTGGTGGGGGTGAAGATGGGCAGTGGTAGCATCCGCTGGTAGGGCAGCAGGTACTCCTGCAGCCCACGGCCGAGGATGCCCATACGCATCACCAACCAGGGGGAGTGCTGCACCAGCGCCTGACACTGACCCTGCTGGTGGTAGGTCTCATGCCGCTGGACATCCTCCTCATGCAGGGAGCAACTGGGGAGGAGAGGGGAGGGGGCACTGAGCTCCTGAGAGCTGTTGCCCTCCAGTCACAGGCTGGGTGGGGGGACCCCCTGGATGCAGAAGGGGTGACTCCACTTCACCCTCCTTAGTGGGCACTCTCCTCACCCCCACCCCCAGGAACTTTGTGCTCTGGCCTCATAAGACTCAGCGAGGGTGCTCTAGGGGAGGAGAGGGACCCCAGCTGGCCAGCACTCACCCCTCCTCAGGGCGAGTGAACAGTGTCAGATCCTTCCATTCAGCCCAAAAGGCCTCTCGGCGCTCACAGTTCTCCTCAGACAACCGGCAGCTCAGCTCTGAAGTGGCCATGATCAGCCTCACTCCCTCAGCTCCGCTCCTCCCAGGCCCTTTAAATAGACCCCTCTTCCCCCTCCCCCAGGGGCTATTTTCAGCCCCTCTGGTGTCAGATGCTATAAGCACAGCCAAGGTCTGATGGCGCACTCTGGGCCCAGGGTGGGGGTTGGGGTACCTGGACTCTCTGGCTGGCCCCAGGTTGGAGATCAGCTTCTAAGGAAATCAAGGTACTCCGGTAGGCGCAGGGGTCTTCAGAGCGACACCTCCAGGTATCTGACACTCCTGAAACACTGTCTGAGACCAGACACATGCCCAGCCTCGTGCCATCTTGGCACCTGCCCTCTGCCCCACCTCTTCCCCCTCACCCAGGGAGGACAGGGGCTTGTCCATCAACAGAGCAGGGAAGTGCAGGAACTGAGGCCCCTCTGGGCTCTGTACCAGATGGTCAACCTCCCCCCCCATCCTCCCCCATACTGCTGTCCTATGCCTGGGTTCAAGGGCACATCCCTGGACCAAACCCCTCAACAGGAACGAACAGTGCAGCCCCGTCCTCAGACATCTGCATCCGAAGGCCTGGTCCCTAACTGATGCCACACGGACAGGGATACTGGCAGTTCACTCCACACTGACGCCTGGGCACGAACCTTCGTCAGGTGTCGTCCTTCCCCATGGCCAGTGGTCAGAGAAGTGGTCTCCAAGCTGAGCCAGTCAGGGTGGAGGGAGTAGCTGTGGGAGTGGCCCCCAGCTCTACACCCAATACCCCAAATGGGGTGAAATGGGGTGACATGGCAATCCAGGGGCTTCAATGAGTGGCAGTCAGCAGATGTGGCTCTAGCCCAAGTCAGCCATAAATAGGTGTGACCATGGGGACAGACCTTGCCCCTTTCTGGGCTTCATTTCCCCCCTTTCCAATCACAACAGCCTGACCAGAGCTCTGGGGTCTGCCAGCTCCAACGTGTCACCTGGGAGGGGCCTGGCTCTCATTCATGGGGAGCAGGATGGGAGGATGGACCCAGGGTGGTGGGCATGAGGGACAGGAAAGGGCACTGCTGAGTGGACAAAAAGGGCACCGGAAGAGGCAGTGAGAAGAGCTAAGGACCTTGTGGGGACAGCAGAGCACCAGCAGCCGAGCACCAGTAAGGCCCGTGGGCACCCACCTGGGGCAGAACTGCATATTCTCTTGATTACTGAGGTACTATGCCGGATTTTTGGTTTTTTTGGTTTTTTTTTAAAGATTTTATTGGGGAATTGGGGGGATGGGAACAGCGCTGGGGAATCGGGGGAAGGGGAACAGACAAGTTGCTGTCGTTTTGTTCTTCAGTCTAGTTGTGGAGGATGTTGCTTCACTGGCCCAAGTTGGCACCATCATTGGGCTCTTTCCGGGAGAGGCAGATCAGTCGCCGGCTTCTGGATGGCCGCTCATGCTGGCTGCTGGCCGCTCACGCTGGCTGCTGGCTACACATGGTAGCCCACGGCAACCCACTGCCATAGGGGCTGCAGCCTACGCCGTCGCCGGCAACTCACAGCAGCCCAGCTCCAGGTCGAGCTGTTGTTCAGCATCTTAGCTGTAGAGGGCATGGTCACCGGGCCTCACATGTGGGATCCGAACAGGGGTCCTCTGGCATCCCAAGCCAGTTCTTAACCAACGCGTCACTTGGCCGACCCTCTTGGTATCTTTTAATCTTATAATAGCTCTATGACATAATGAGCCTCATTTTTACAAAGTAGGACATGGAAGCTGAGATGCCGATTTACCCAGGGTCACACACCAGCCAGGACTAACATGGGCCCCCCTGGCTCTACGCAAGTCGACTCCTTTGGAAACCTGCAGGCACCAAGGGAAGAGAGCAGTGCCCTGGCCCTCGCCTGGAATCTGACTTGATGCTGCCCCTAGTGAGTGTGGTGGGGCCGAGGGCGTAGGTGAGTGGAGCCCAAGAGGCAGAGATCCCAGACCAGGAAGCCCAGGCCCCACCTCCAGGCTCCCCACCTGCCTTGGGACCCCAGGAACAGCCAGGGCCTGCTGTGGGTGTAGCTGGGTCTCTCCTACCACCTCCCAAAGCCTGGACTGGAGCCCTTAGCCTGCCTTTCCCTCGCAGGAAGCCTGTATGGGGGTAGGGCATTTTCCTCTGACCAGTCATCTGCCCAGCTGAGCCATTCAGCAAAGTATGTGTGTTGGGGGGGGTGGAGGGGGGGGGAGGTTCCAGGAACTGGGTCCCCACTGGCTCCAGGGCATGAGCGGGCGGGTCATGTATCTGGCCATGGTGATGAATGGCTCACTCCTTCCCACCTCCTCTTCCCTCAAAAGGCCAGGCTGGAGAGGGTAGTTCTTTTTCTTTTAAGTTCATGTTTTTAATTGGCTCAAATTACAAAGGTCCCCAAGGAGGCCCTGGGAGGAGGGAGAGAACATGGGAGAGACAGCGGTTCACTGCCAGCACCCACCATCTCCACCTGCCACCCACTCCCCCACAAGTACATGTGGAAAAAGGTCCCAGACCCTTTAAATAATCCTAAAAAACCTTGATGAGAGCAGGCAGATGAAAGGGCTCCTGCACCTTAACACTGGTGACAAGGATGCTCTGGCCTCCGTCCTGCCCAGGGGCCCTGGCCCTCACCCACCAAGGCTGAGGCTCCCATTCCAGACCCTGCCCCTGGCTAGGAGGGGACCGAGGACCTCCTTCTCTAGGAGGCAGGGACGCCATGTAAACATCAGCAGGGCACACCCCGCCCGCCTTACTGGCAGAGCCCTGGAGTCCAGATGCTCTCTACCCCACAACCTGCTCGTGGCCGTGGCTCCCAGGCACAGCGAAGCGTGGTGGAGGGTGGTAGCTTGGGGTCAGGGGGCTGCCATGAAAGGAAATCTTTTTCTCCCACTGCTTGAGATCAGGTCCTTTGTGGGCAGCCCCACGGACTCCCTCTCTGGCTCAGGAGGCTGTGGTGACAGGACCCTGGCCCACAGGGTGGTGAGGGGGCATGGTTATGCCCGGGTCCCCAGCTCACTGACACGCTGCCGCAGGTGAAAGGCAAATTCAAACATGGTGGCTGCAAGGCTCTGGTGGATGAGGTACCTGGGCAGGCGGCCCTGGGGAAGGCAGGAAGACGTTCCAGGATGGCTTGTCCTCAGGAGGGGCTCCCCCCTCAACAACTGGCACCCGCAGGGAGTGCTGGGGCTAGAATGCAGGTGCAGCTCTGGAATGCAGCCCGGGCCACCCTCTCTCCCCGTCACCCCTGGCAGGAAGAACATGCTGTGCCCAGGTCTTGGCACCAGCCACACAAACAGACCCGGGAAGGGCTTGGTTGGCAGCCAGCCACCCCTCCTTGGGGCCTCAGGCGCCAGAGGTAAGAAATGGGAGGCATAGGCCCTCCACTAACTCAGGGCAAGAAGACCGTCCAGACCCTGCCCCAAATTTGAGAGTAAGAAAAGAGGTAGGGAGTAGGGGAGGCCCTGAGCAGGCATGGAGCTCCCACGGTCGCACAGCCCCCTGCACTCCACCGAGCCTGCCCTGTAGCCCTAGCACCCTCACCTTGAGATCTGTATTAAGGATCCAGATGAAAGTGCAGATGTGGGAGTTACTGGACGACTTGAGCACGATGAAGCCTCCAGGACCATTCTCTCCCCTAAGGAGAGAGGTACAATTGGGGAGACGTTAAGAGCCAGGCAAGACCCCTGACCCACCCACCCCATTCTTAGCCCATCTTAGAGTGGGGTGGAAGAGGGAAGGGACCTGCTGATCTAGAACCTGCTACCCTGCCTGAACAGGGACCAGAACAGGTGTCCCAGAGGCCACAGCCCTCTATCCCCACCCACGATGTGATGCTCATAGCCTGCTGATGTTTGCACACCCCCAGTGGCAGGGAGCTCACCACCCTCCCAGGCCTCATCTACTCTGTCCAGTGATTCTAGGTCAACTCTAGCTGTGAGGGGGGGGGCTGGTGTGGCACTTCTCACCCCTTCCCCAACTCAGGGGACAGTGCAGTGCTGGTGGGCTCCAGGAGGGGGCGCCCTCTCAGAAGGCAGTCAAGGCCTGAGCTGCATGGTTCACATCCTATGGCCATTTAATTTGCCCACAGCTCCACTGAGCACTCTTAAACCCACTAATAAGGAGTTAAATAAGGAATTTGGCACCCTGGGAAGAAACGAGGTTGTCCGTCACCCAGGAAGGCTATGGTGGTGCCAAGACCAGAACCCCAGTCTGACACTCCAAGAACAGTGCTCTCTGCAGAACCCCAGGAAGGATGGGCAAGGGTGAGTGGGGTCTCAGGGAGGAGGCCACCTGCAGCACTGGAGGCTAAGATTAGACAACGAGAGCTGCAGGATGCCCCGGAACAGGCAGCAGGAAAAGTGAAACCCCTCTTCCTCTGGCAGGACCTCCGAGCACTCCAGGAGAAAGGCAGGGAGAAGAGAAAAGGGGGCTCAAGTCTCCTCAGGAAAGTGAAACTCCAGGATGCAGAGCATCCTGCTCAAGCTGCCCCGACCAGCGCAGCCTCTTGGCTCCCAGCCCTATCCCTGGTCCCTGGTCTACACCCTCCAGTGAGTGGCGTGATTCCAGCCATTGTTCCCCAAGTCTCCAGCGCACACAGCAGCTGATTAGCAGGATTAGGGGCCAGGAGGGGCACAGCCCAGTGGGAGAAAGTCCCCAGCTGTACATCCTGTGCCCTGCCCTGTCCTCACAGCCACCGGGGGAGGGGCTAGCGGGGAAGAGCGCTGGCAAGGTGGGGCTCACCTGACATATTTGTGAGTCGGGGGCTTGGCGCAGTGGGTGGTGGCAATGCCTGATGACAGGTATCTGTCTCTGCGCCGCTCGATGCGTCGGACATTCACGAAGTCCCTGGGGAGGGAAAGTTAGGTCAGGGGGTGCCAAGCCCAAACTGCAGGGGCAGGTGGCCTGCCTGAGAGGAGGAGTGTGGTGGCTACTCACCTGGGGGAGACCACACCGCCCGCAGCCCCTGCAGACACATCGTAGGAGATGAGGGTGTTGTCTTCCACTCGCTGCAGGATCTGCGGGCAGTCAGGGGAAACATGAGGTACAGCACACCCCAGGAGAACCCCAGGGACAGGGTCCCAGCACCTCAGGAAACCCCAAAGTCAATCTGTCTCTGCTCAGGTCTCTTTACTAAGAGCCATTCCCATTCACGGGCCCTGGGCTGGGCAGTCTGTAAGCACCCCTTTTCATTTTCCAACCCTCTCCAGAAAGCACGAGTGCCATCATCCCCATTTTACAGATGGGGAAGCTGAGGCTCACAGCAGTTCAATAATATGACCCAGGTTTCCCTGGGGGTTACAGGTCATGCTGGGGCATGATGGCCCTGACCTGCCATGTCGCTCAGCCTCTGCCCTGAGAAGCGGTCAGGCCAGGCCCCCTGGCTCGGCTCACCTGGCAGGCGGCCACTGTCTTATTCCACAGCACCATCCTCTCAGGCTGCAGGATCACTTCCTGGTATACCAGCTCCGCGGGGCAGGCCAGGAAGGTCTGGGGCAGGGCGGGCGGAGGGCTGGGTGGTGCAAGTTGTGCTTGGGCACACCAGCCCTTCCCTCTTGGTGGGGAGAAACCTGCCGGAAGGCCCCTCAGCCCCTTCCTGGAGCCCCAGACTGAGCAGGGGGCTCCAGGACACTCCAGACCAACCACTTCCCTCGCTCACCTTCAGGATGAATGTCTTGCCATGAAAGGGAACCTCGATGGTGTACACAGTATCCCCATATTCCTGTGGGAGGGACAGGAGGGTGGGTGGAGGGTGGGCGAGGGCATGGGGACGGGGGCTGGTGGCACAGGAATGGGTGACAGGTAGGTCAGGTTTTTAACAGCTCAGGGCAAAAAATTCCAGGAGTCTGGGGATATCTGAGCAGCCGTTAAAAAACAGTGGTTCTGACACATGTCCGGCAACAAGGAGAGAAAGGCTTTTGATATCAAGTTAAAAGGCAGGAGCACAGCTGTGGCTGCAACCACGAAGAACCGTGTCTCCAGACCGACAAGCGCTGCCAGAGGAACCGGCCAGGGAAAACGAGAGGGATGTTTTCCCTCTGTTTTCCAAGCTCTCTGCCATCTTTTCAGATAATACTGTTTTGATCATGAAACAAAACACCAGACACAGGGCAGAAGCCTGGCTTTCCCTTCAAAGCTGAGCTGAGAGCAGAGCAGCAGGGAGGTGGGGGTGGGGCGCAGGGGGAGCACTAGAGACACCCAGTGCATCCTGACCTCCCACCAAGTGGCTGACCCCAGGGCCCAGCCCCCTCTCCTAGGGCCAAGATATGGTTCCAACCCGTGTAACCCTTGGGGCTATTTCTCAGGCCTCAGTAAAGGGAGCGAAAACTCGCAACACACATGGGCATGTCAGGTGGGAGAGAGGTTTCTTACATTATTCTTCTCAAACTTCCAGTTCTCCTCTTGGGCCAAGATCTGATCCACCACCGCTGTGGCCTCCTTCCCCTGGCGGACATACTCCCGCTCCTGGTCAGGGATGGGAGGCAGGATGGCGTTCAGCCTTGTTTGTGGCTGGTTCTTTCTCTAGACACTCCACACACATCCCATGGAAGCCAGACCCAGCCAGATGTGGGTGTGAGCTGGTCTCCTGGGCTCCGCAGGATTCCTGGGGCCAGGAGCTGTGGCTGTGGCTGCTCCCCACTGGTTCCCAGGCAGGAGGTAGACCAGTGGGCCTGACAGACAGTGGCGTCAACACTCAAATGGGCACTGGCATTCAGGCTGCTGAGGTCTCCCCTCTGCTGGGAAGCCCCCGCCCATCCTGGCTGAGCCCGGCACTGGCCCGTCTCCTGGGTGTCCGCTCTGAAGGCAGGGTGGGGGTGGGCAGCCAAATACCTGGGCAGAGAAGCTTTTCTTCCCAACAACTTCTTCATCTGATTCATTGTCAGATCCTGCAGAGAACAAGCACAGATGACAATGGGAAGAGGTGGGGAGGTAGTAGGATTCAGGTATAAATGCAGGATGTAGGGCGGATGGAAGTGTGTGTGGGAGGCTGGCTTTCCCCAGGGAACCGATAGAAGGAATAGAAAGAACAGAGCCAGCCTACCCCACTCCTTATAAATCCCCTCCCTGAAGGCAGTTCCCCCACCCGCCAGCCCATCACCTGCAAAGGATTCTGGGGGTGAATAGAACTGGCCCTCAGACAGAGCTCCGGAGAAGAGTAGGGGTCCACGGGCGACAGTGGCCTGGGCAGCAAGATACCCTGGGAGAGCAGACACGGGCAACCATTGTCGCAGACCAAGGACATTAAGCCTTAGCAGCCTGGGGTTCCCCTGCCCCGGGCTTACTCTTGGAAGCTGCTCGGGTTGGCAAGATGGCTCAGAACTGGCACTCATGGGCTGAAACTCTCCTCTCTTGGGGCTGGGGTGACCCTCACTGCCCCCACCCCTAGCACTCACATCGCTCCTCCTCTGCTTCCTGGGGTAGGACTTTGAAGTCAAGGAACCAGGTCTCCAACCAGGCAAGGACAAAGGAGACGATGGGGAGCAGGTAACCGAATGCCCCTTTGCTGAGCAGCTGTGGAGGGAAGGCGCTGAGCTCCATGGCAGGGCCTCACCCCAAACCCAGAACACAGGCCCCCTCCTGGGGGCTACCCACTCTGGCATACACCCCACTCTTGGTACCAGCTGCTTGGGGACCCTCTATGGCACGTGCCTCTGGATGGATTAGTGGATTCTACAGCAGGATAAACTAAGGTTAGGCTGGAGGAAGAAGAATTTTCTGTTCTTGGGGCGGCCAGGGAGCAAGTGAGAGAAGCCAGTGAAGAGAATTCCTTGGAAATATCAAAGGATAGGATACCCCCTCACCCCAACCCTGACAACAAGGACAGACACCCAAAATGAGAGAAATAGTCCCTTAGGAGAAGCCCATCCCTTAGGCCACGCCCACCAGACCAGCCAAACCCTGAGCCACTGACCTCAGAGAGGATGACCTTGACAATGAGGAAGGCACTGGACACCAGAGTAGTGACCTGCCCAGGGGAGGAAGGAAGGAAGGAGAGAGGGAAAACAGAGGCTGGGGAGTGAGTCTTCATCCCATCCCTCGCACCAGCCTCACCAGGGCCCCACAGCTGCCAGGAAAGTGGCATCTTACCGCAATCACCCACCAGTGCTGGAGCCGCACCACCGCGTAGCCCAAGAGCAGTCCTGAGAAGCGGAAGAAGGCCAGGACCTGGGGGGTGGGGGCGGGGTAGCCATCACAGGCAAGCCAATGCCCCTCACCCCTGCTGAAGGCTGAACCCCCCCTCCAGGCCTGCTCCCTCCAGGCTCCCTCCACATGGGTGTGCCCACTTCAGGAAAGAATGGCTGAGTCAGTGTTTCTCTGGGGCCAATTTGGATGTGACCTTCTTGGACCGGGGCTCTTGTCTTCCTCCTCCCACTGGGGCTCTCTGAAGGTGGGGCCTCATTTAGGAACCTTTTTGTAGACGAGGGTTCCCTGAGATGGGAGCCAAATCTCTCTGATCAGGTGACAATGTATGTTGCTGCAGGAAGGGATTCCAGCCAGTCATGTCCCTCTCCCTGTTCCCTCTCCGACCCCAGGACCTTAAGGTCACTCACAAAAATGTCAAAGAAGGACGTTTTAAAGCTGTAGTGGATGATCTCCTGTTCCAGGTTCTTCTGGATACCTGTGTTGGTCTGCAAGAGGGAGATACAAACGGCTCTGCAGGCGGAACCCAATCCTCGGGGCTGCCCCTCACCTCCCAGAATGGGGAAGAGGCAGGGGGAGGGTAGAACCTGCATGGGAGGCTGTAAATGCTAAGCCAACACCCAAGGAGGTCCCCAAAGCACCCAGGAAGCTCAGCTAGAGGCCTGGGACCCCAGCACTAATAGGATCAAGGCAGCCCAGGAAGGCAGGGCTGGGCTCAAGCACTGATGCTCGTGGGCACACCGCCCAGGAAGGGGTAGGCTTGGAGGGCCTCGGAGCCATGCAGGGGACGCGAAGGGCCCTATGCAGGTAGGCAGGGCTGACAGACAGGGTGCTGGGAGCCTGCGTCTCACATAATTTCATCTCCCTCCCACCACTGCAGTGCCCATCTTTCCAGCCAACCATCCATCTAGGGTGATAGGGGCCAGGGGTGGGCAGTGGTGTCAGACGGAGCCCCAGGTGGCAAATCAATTGATTAGGTTTGTGCTTAATGGGTAAAATCCATCACGCTGCTGGAGAGGACAGTGTGGAGTGAGCAGGCTTGTCCTCGCCCTGTTCCTGCCCTAGCCACCCGCACATTTTCAATGAGACCCCTGAGACCCTGGCTGGGAGTGAGGGGGCCCGGTTAGATGCCAAGAGCCGAACTGCAGCCTGAGGGGAAAGACCCTTCACAATCACCCAGACTGGGGCTACTCATCTCCAGCAGATGATCTGAATTTGGGGGTGGGGGGCTTGTTAAAGATACAGATGTTCAGACCACTGAAGTCTGAACCTCAAGGTGAGCTGAGCATCTGGAATCTTTATAAAGCTCCAGACAGGGAGCCAGCAGTCTGGACAGCCTCCCACCCCCACCCCAACACTAGAAACCCCCTGCACATTCTCACTCGGGTGCCTCTACGCCCCCATGCCCTCGCCTGACACCCCACCCAGGCCCTTCTCTTCCTCCTCAGATTGCTCTCTCTTGGGGTCCACAGCCCCTCCCACTCCAAGAGTGGCTGTCCCTCTGCCCTCTGCCCTCTTTCCAGAGAACTCTCCTTCCACCTGGGTCCCCGCCTATGCTGACCGCATCAGGACTCAGGAGAGCCGGGTTCCAGTACCCGCTTTGCCAGTATCTGGCGGCAAGACCTTCTGCAGCTCCTGTAACCCTGCTGGGGTCCTTGTGTCCACTGGGCAACACAGTCTGTTAGAGAACTAAAAATATATACGCTCCAAAATATGAAAACAAAACTGAAAATTAATAAAATTTTAATTAACTGTCCACCAAGTGAAACATATGCTAACTCGACTAATTGTTAAATCCAGCGTTCTGAAACTTTTAATTACATCTGAAAACAATTTGGAGGTTAGGTTTTCTCACTTTGCAAGAATTCCCAAGTACGCACAATGACTGCTGAGCTATTACAGCCAATACAGCCAGATAATTTCAAAAGTAAAATTATCAAAATATTTTCAGCTTTTCTGGAAAGAAAAAATATATTGAATGAAGGATGTGGGTAGTTTCAGTGCTTGCTTTGATGTCGGATGGGACCTTCAAAAGGAAGAATGCTGAGACCTCAGAAGCTCTTTGAACAGCCCGAACCTTGCTGGGCCTCAGCTTTTTTTATCAGTAAGATGGTCCCTAAGGTCCCCTGTGGCTGTGGCTCTATCTCGCTGAAGGTGCCAGCTCATCTCTGTGTACAAAGGACAGTCGCCCTCAGAGCCCTGCCTTGCCACCCAGCTCAATAGGCCCAGAATCAAACTTATCCTCTTCAACCCTAAACCAGCCCCTTCTCCAAACTCCTCACTTCTATCAACAAAGTCATCCTTTTCCTGTCACCCGAGCTTGAGACCTGGAGGAAGAGCATCTGCCAACCAGAACTCTGACCCACTTTGCAGAAGGGAAATGAGGGGAGGCTTGCAGAGGTCACAGCTAATACAGAGGAGGAGCTGGGATAGGGCCGGGTCTGGGACGCCGGGCTCGCACAGCTCCCGCCTCTGTGGTCAGGTCCTGCTCTGCCCGCTGGCCAAGCACTGCGCAGGGGGAGAGGAATGCTGTGAGGGCTGCTAGGTGGTATCTCACCAAACCCCGAGAGGCCAAACTGGGGGGCACTGGGGAAGTGTCCATAACTGGGGGGCACTGGAGGAATGTCCATAATGGGGAGGGAGAGCTGGGGGGTTTTATTGTCTGCTCCTCACTGTGCTCTGCTTTCAACCCAGTGCCTGGGACATGGCAGGGGCTCAAAAAATGTTTGCTGACTGAATGAATGAAGCCAGAGAGGAGCGTAGGGCAGAGAGAAGACAAAGGTTTCAAGAGCTCAACCAGAGGCTGGTTGGGGTCTCTCCGCCTTTCTCAGGAGTGTCCACTAGGGGCGCAGTATGGCGCAGAGATTGAGAGTGTAAACTCTGGAGCCACAGGGTCTGGGTTCAAATCTGCCTCCTTCACATACTTGCTGAGAGACCTTAGATAAGTGACTCAACCCCTCTGAGCTTCATTTGCTTTCTCCGATCGGTGAGAACAGCTGTTCTTCCCATTCTTCATTTTCCTGAGGCCCAAGTGTCCCCCCCAAGATGGCTTGTGCCCCCAGCTTCAACCCCACTCACATTCAGCTCAATGATCCAGAGCAAGGAGATGAAGAGCAGGTCGAAGGTGACAAAGAGACAGAAGGTGCGGCGGACATCGGAGATAGTCTGGCGCTTCTCCGGAGGTGGCAGGAGGAAATGCGATGAGAGGCTCTGGCTGTGGGACGGCGATGAGCCGAGGGAGGCCACGGCCGGCAGGCTACGCTCCAAGTCGCGGGCCAAACCGCCGGGCAGCTTGTGCATCCTGGTGGGCCCCCACCTCAAGGTGGGGAGGGCGGGGCCTCAGAGGTACACCTGGGGGGCAGGAGGCTGGGTCAAGTCACGCACGTCAGGGTCCTGGAGGTCCGGTTAACCTCTTTCATCCCTTCACACACAGCCCCCAGGGACCCCATTGGCTCCCAAGCACATCTGCCGCGGCCCACTACCCCATCCCACCCCCAGTCCAGGGCCCTCTCTGCCCCACTTCCCCCCAGTAGCCTGACTTCCAGGCTGGAAGAGGTGTGAGCATCCCTCTCACTCTGTCCTCCCTCCTCACCACCCCTGCAAAGCCCAGTGGCCCCACACTTCACCCTGGGAGGGCTCTGGGGTCCTCCCCTGTGCCTGGGGGCACAGTCTACTCCTGTGAAACCCAGCCCTGTGGTTCAGTCTCTGGTCCTGTCAACAGCCTCTCGGCCTGGCCTGTACCCCACCCCCAGGAGATGAGGGCCCTGAAGCTCTGTTCTTTGTTTTCCAAGCACAAAGCCACATTTCCTCCCAGCAGCCTGCCCTCCCCTCCCACCCCCTAATCCATGGCAACTGGGAGGGACTTCTAGAGCAGTGCTCAGTGCTCGGACAGGGTGTGGAGGGAGGACATCTTGGTCCCTTTTCTCTAGGGCCACCCCCCAACCCCTACCTCAGACCCAACCACCATGGGCTCTCTTCTGGACTCGACAACTTTCCCCTAATGGGGTCTCCAGGCTGCCTCTCTCACCCTGCAAAAACCGTCTCTCCACACAACAATCGGAGACACCTTTTCAAAACATAAATCAGATCCTGCCATTCCCCGCTTACAACCCTCCAAAGGCTCCCATGGCCCTTGGATAACAGCCCTCCTCACGTGCCCTTGCAGTCTCAGCCTGCGGGGTGTGGCTCTACCATGCTCCTCTCACAGCTCCTCTCAGGAGGCCTGCCCCCGTCTCACTACCACTGCCAGCCTGGCCCTCCTTCAGATCCCTGTGTGGCAGCCCAGTCCGGCCTCGGCGCCTTGGACCTAGCTCTCTCAGCTGCTGCATGGAATGTTCTTCCTGTCCTTTCAACTGGCTGCTCCAAAGCCCTCTCCTCAGAGCCTTCCACCCTCCTGTTCCCAGTCACAGTGTCCTATACATATACATTCTTCAGTGAACTCATCACTCTCTGAAATGATCTTATTTATTGTTCTGCAAACTCCATGGGGGCAGGGTCGCTGCTGTCTCTCAGTGCCTAGCACAGTGCCTGGCACCTAACAGGTGCTGAATAATGGACTGTTGACTAAGTGGATGATCCAGAGGGTCTCCTGGCCCTCGGCAACATGCTCTGCAGCAGAGAGGACCCGGGCAAACCCTAAAGAGAATAAGAACCAGCCACTACCCAAGGCTCTACTGCCCAGAGAACACTGTACCCACGGCTGTTCCAGGCCCACACAGGGCAGGATGGTTCTTTCTATTCTACAGATAGGATAGCCAAGGCCAGAAAGGTAAACAGACTTACTTATCCCTTACCTGCCTGTGCAACCCTGAGGCTGCAATTCTCAGGAACCCTAGAGACAAGAGAGGCCCGGGGCCACTCCCTCCCTACAGCCCCCAGCCTAAGGTCTCTGCTCCATTCATTGGCTGACAAAGGGCCCTAAGAGACCCTGTCTGCTGGATGGGGAAGGAAAGGTTCAGTCTACAGCCAGAGAGGAGCTGACTCAGCGTGGTCGGGCCTGAACTTCTGAGACTCCAGCTAGAGTGTCCCTGAGTCTTCTCACAGGTCAGCACCAGGGGACAGAATTGGGGCCAGAGCAAAGGGAACCACAGACGTTTGTCCCTGAGCCTAGGAAGGCAAGATCTAACCAGTCTCTCTCCTGATTCGTTGTTTCCTTTAAACTTTTGCTATATCTACTTCCTGCCACAGCCCCCTTAATCTACCAGGTCCAAAACAAGCCCCCAGTTTGTGACCAGCAGGAGGTTCTGAGCAAGCCAGCTAGTCCATCCTCTGCCTCTGCACAAGCCCCAATGGACAGGAGCTGACGGTTCTCAGCACAGGCACCAGCCCAAGGCCACCCCACAATACCACACTCTTGGGGGCCCCCATGACAAGCTCATCTGGAGGGTACTGAAGGAAAGCCGGGCCCAGCTCTGGAAGGAGGCTGTCAGAAGAGGGATGTGACAGGCTGCCGGCAATGGGACCCCCCAACATCCATCAGCTGGACCTGGTGCCAGACTGCACCATCAGCGCATCCCTCACTGTGACAGGGCAGCAGCTCCAGGGCACGTGACATTTCCTTGTCTCTAACAGCCCTCTTGTCTCCTGCCAGACCTGTCTCCATCTCTCCCCTTTCCTGTCTGTCTCACAAACTACCTTTCTATCTTTTCATTATAAGTGCCTTTGTAGCCCCGTCTCCCCGGCCCATCTTTACTTCGCCCGCTCTCCCGTTTAGGAGTCTTTCTCTCTACCCGCATCAGATCAGTCTCTCTCCCTTTCTCCAGTTTTCTATCTCCTTCTCTTCTCTTTCTGCCTTCACCCTGTCTCTCCCTCCCTCTTCCCTATCTCGCTGCAGGACGCTATCTATGGCTTCCTTACTCCTAGTCTGTTCCAGTGTCCCTCTGTCTTTCCCCGGCTTTCTCCCTCCCTCCCTGGGGACAGGATTTGGGTGACAGCAGCTTGGGTGTGAGATGCACTCAGAGTGGCAATAGCACTAACACACACCCAGACATCCCTGTTGAAGTGAGACACACAGATGGGGCTGAGAGCAGGGGTGTTGGGGAGCCTGACAGCTGTAGACGCAAGGGCATGTGGGAGCCAAGCATGGGGGCTCTGAAGCAGGAATGGGGGTGGCTGGCCAAGAGCTGGGTTTCTGTATCACCCTCCCCCATGAAAGCAGCTCAGAGTCCAAATAAACCAGAACCTGTAGAGTAGAACAAGCACCAGTCAGGAGTTAAGACCTGGGCCCCAGTCTTGGCACACCACTAACCCCGAGTAACTTTGGACAAGTCCTTCTCACCAAGGAAAAAGGGCAGTGGTTTTTTAAAACCCCTTTTAAGAGAAACTTAAAAAATAATTAATACTAAAACCTTACTTAGAACCTCTACATATAAAACAGATAAAAACAGGACTGTTGTGGAGCCTGCCACAGAAAGTGGCCACAGAGAGCCCCACTAGTCAGCCTTTTCTTGAACTCTGGGGTCACCCCTGAGGCACCTCCTTGGGTGCACGCACGCAGATGGCTTCAAAGGCCTTTGAGCTCCTTCAGACCACCTGCCAGTCTAGGAGGTGAAAAACATCCTGGTTGTGGCCCTTGGCAGTCCCCGGAGCACTTGTTCTCTGGCCCTTGAGGGCAGAGGGCGGCAGTACCGGCAGAACCAGGCTTGGCCTCCACTCCACAGCACCCACCCTCCTGATAAGGGGGAGGCAGGAATGAGTGTTGTGAGGCTGGAGACAGCAGGGCTGCCACCCCGCCCCCTGGGAGCAGCGCTCCCCTGCCAAGCCCACTGCCTGCTGTCACTGGCCCCTCCCACGTGCCTTCAGAGGTGTCAGGAATGGAACAGCACGTGTGGCGTGAAGGAATCCACCTGGGATGGCTACAGACTTGACACTGGACGTGTTTGCGGAAGCTGAACTGCTAAGGCTTGGGGAGAGTGGAAGGGAGGGAACTGGAGGTTTTATCACCCTAGGTTGGAAAGGAGAGAGGGGTAGAGAGGAATAGGCAAGTCAGATCTCAGGGCACAGTGGAAAGCTCCTGAAGCAAAAGGGAAGGGTGAGCACGGGCCCTCACACCTCCTGCCAGGCCTTGTCTTACTCGCCAGGAAATGCCACTACCGCCCAACAGCAATAGGAGCTTTGGGGTGGGGTCCTGGACTAAGCAAGGGCAGACAACACAGGCAGCTGATATTCTGGAAAGAGAACTGGACTCTGAAATCAGGGTTCAAATCACAGTCTGCCCTTAACTAGCTGTGTGATCTGGGGTAAATATAAGCATTCTGAGATTCGGTTTCTTCAGCTGCATTAAATAAAGGCAACAATAATATATAGTAAGTCCTCACTTAACATCATCAATAGGTTCTGTGACTTTAAGTGAAACAATGCATAATGAAACTAATTTTACCACAGGCTAATTGATATAAACAAGAATTAAGGAGCTGGCCAAGTGGTGCAATGGTTAAGAACTGGCTTGGGACGCCAGAGGGACCCGGTTCGGATCCCACATATGAGGGCCAGTGACACTGCCCTCCACAGCTAAGATGCTCAACAACAGCTCAACCTGGAGCTGGGCTGCTGTGAGTCGCTGGTGACGGTGTCGGCTGCAGCCCCTGTGGCAGTGGATTGCCATGGACTACCGTATGTAGCCAGTAGCCAGCATGAGCGGCCAGCAGCCGCAGTGAGCAGCCGTCCAGAAGCTGGCGACTGATCTGCCTCGCCTGGGAAGAGCGCAATGATGGTGCCAACTTGGGCCAGTGAAGCAACGTCCTCCACAATTAGACTGAAGAACAAACCGACAGCAACTTGTCTGTTCCCCTTCCCCCAATTCCCCAGCACTGTTCCCATCCCCCCAATTCCCCAATAAAAATCTTAAAAAAAAAAATTAAGGGGCAGCTGGTTAGTTAGCTCAGGTGGCTAGAACGCAGTGCTCACAACATCAAGGTTGCCGGTTCGATCCCCAAATGGGCCACTGAGCTGCGCCCTCCACAACTAGAGGGAAACAACTACTTGACTTGAAGCTGATGGGTCCTGGAAAAAAACACACTGTTCCCCAATTTAAAAAAACGAAGAAAGAAAAAAAAATTAAGTTCCTAGAGCAACGTTATAATGAAATGATGCTGAACCAAACAACATTTATTTGAGGACCTATTGTATTTAATGCCACAGACGGTACACTTAAAAATGATTAAGATGGTAAATGTTATCACTATGTATATTTTACCACAATAAAAAGGCAACTATGATTGCTACCTTCTAAAGCTGGCATCTATATAAGTGTCAGGAGGAAGCAGGCAGGTGCTTGGTCAGTGGTGGTTGAAATGTAACAAGTAGCGGGCAAGGCCATTCAGGTGAGAAATGAAGTGAGAGTGAGAGTGAGAGAGTGAGAGAGAGAGAGAGAGAGAGAGAGAGAGAGAGAGAGAGAGAGGGAGAAATGAAATCTCCCCAAAAGGCCTGGGTTCAAATTTGAGCTCTACAATTCCCCTGCCAGGTGACCCAGAGCAAGCTCTCTGAGCCTGAGTCTAAGTTCCCCCATCCACACACAAAAAGGGCCAAGATATTCCAGCTCTAGGCAAAGATGAATCCCCAGGTGGGGGGTGGGGGGACTGTTCTGGCTCCCTGCACAGGCTCTCAGGGGGAGCGCCAAAACTGATCTCTGATACTACCCCTTCCCACTAGTGACTGGCCCCACGGCAGTTCCACACTCCTGTCTCCCCTCCCACCCACCCACCACCTGGTCCCGATTTCCACAGTTCTTAGGTGGCAGGGGTACAGAAGGGTTCCTTGCCAGCCCTCAGTCACAGCCCAGGCCAGAAGCTCCAGTCATCTCTCTGCAACTCAACACCCCAGTTGCCTGCAGCTCCCAGCTGGTGTTTCCTGGCCGAGGCAAGTCTGCAATTTGAACAATGCCACTTACTGTGCAAGCCTCAGAGGCTGCATCTGGAAACTGGAGATACCTGTCTTGATCCGGGGCTGTCTGGGGCATCAGAGGAGACAGCAACGCAGAGGAAGTGCACAGAACAGTGCCTGGCACCAGAGGAAGTGCTTTAGACATCCACCACTGCCACATCTGAGTCTTCTTGGCCTTTCCTACCTCCCACCTCTGGAAGCCTGGGCCACACTGTGCAAGGTCTAGTTTGTTCTACAGAGCTGTACTCTGTGAACTCAGGGTAGGGGAACAAATCTCATCTGTATCCAGAAATAGTCCACATTTCTGGGCAGTGTGGCTTCTCCAAACTCACTTCCAGGGCCGAGGGGGCAGTGGACACAGGCTCCCAACGCCTCCCCAACTCTGCATCCTCAGGAGTGCTAGCATTAGCTCGACACAGCCACAGGGGCTTCCCAGGGGGTCCCTAGCTCAGCACAAATCGGAAGGAATCAGTGAAGCTGAGCAAAAACTGGACTCCAAGCCAAAAGGTTCAAATGCTGGATTCCCACATTTCTAGTCACTGAACTCTGTGCCTTAGTTTTCTCCTCTGTAAAATGGAGATAACAACACTTACTACAGGTATTATAAGGCTTAATGACTTATTAAAATTAATGGCCTAGAACAGTCTCTGACACAGAGGATTAGCGAGTACAACATCTCTTTTCTCTAGAGCAGCGGTTCTCAACCTGTGGGTCGCGACCCCTTTGGGGGTTGAATGACACTTTTACAGGGGTCGCCTAAGACCATCAGAAAACAAAAAGATATTTACATTATGATTCATAACAGTAGCAAAATTACAGTTATAGAGTAGCAACGAAAATAATTTTATGGTTGGGGGTCACCCCAACATGAGGAACTGTATTAAGGGGTCGCAGCATTAGGAAGGTTGAGAACCGCTGCTCTAGAGGAAGACACCGTCTTGAGCTATGACTGCCTCCGTGAGATGGTTTCAGGCCAGGCTGGTGTTGTTCTGGACCAAGCTGCCCTGGTAATGCCCAGGTTAATGGTGAATCGACAGATGGGCAGGCGCAGAGGCAGAGGCTCTGGGTGTGGAACAGGCTGGCCTTGACCCTGTCCTGCCAATGTCCAGCGTGAGAGGGAGCTGGTTTACGAAGGGAGAGCAGACCAAATGGGCCTGCAGTCCATCCAGGCGGGCCAGCGCAGAAGAAACACATCCGGCTGGCAGTGGCCCATGTAGCAGCCTGCAGACACCCTCTCCTTTACTCATCACTCCCCGCACCCCCTCCACCCCCCACAGGAACTGTAGAGATGAGGCTTGGATGGAGGAGACTGAAGCTTGGAGAGGCCTGCCCAGTCTCTCAGACAGGATGAGGCAGAGGCACGTAGGCTTCACCCTGTGCTGGCCTGAGACCCACGAAACCCAAATGTGGCTGCTGTCTCCACAGCCTCTTCTGGCCAGGGAGGGAGCAAAGCGTCAAAAGACCCCAAAGAGGTTAACAGCCATCCAGCCAGGGCCTGTGGAGAGCCCAGTGTCCTCCATTCCACATCCAAACCATTTAGCAAATCCTGCTGGCTCTTTCAAAATCTAGCCAGCATCTGCCCACTGCTCACCACTACCGCCACTGTCACCCTGCCCAAGCTGTCATCTCTCACCTGCTACAGCTTCCTGACCACATCCTTGTCCTGGTCCCAAGTCTATTCTCAACACAGCAGCCAGAGTGATGAAGAGAAAAGGCACCTCCCCAGTGCCCCAAACCTCTAATGGCTTCCAGCTTACCCAGAGTGAAGGCCAAAGTATCTACCCTGGCCTCCAAGCCCCCTCTTCCCCTGGCCTCTTCCCCTTGAATCCTCTGCTGCAGCCACACTGGGCCCTCTCTGTTCCTTGGACACACCAAGCATGCTCCCACCCCAGGGACACTGCACCTCCTATCCTCTGTCTGGAGCTCCTCCCCCAGGTCTCTGCATCGTTCCCTTCCTCCATTCTGGTCTCTATGTCCCTTTGGAGAGGCCTTCCCTGCTTAATCCCCACAGCACTCATCACCCCAGACATAGTATATGTTTAGCAGTCTGTGTTTACTGCCTATTTTCTCCCACTGGAATGCCAATTTCATGAGAGCAGGGACTCCCAGTGCTCTGCTCACAACTGCGTGCCCAGCACCTAGAACAGTACCAGGCTCATAGTGGATACTCAGGAAATGTTTTGAAAGACTATTTACACCCTTCCTTACAGGTGCATATGCACACACTCACACCTTGCCCAGTCTACACTGCCTCTCCTGGAGCTGGACTCCACCCTCTGCTGGTGTCTAGCCCCGCCCAGAGCCCAGACACCCCTCCCACCAGTGGGCAAGAGGAACTGGTTTCCTGGACACCCGTAGGCAGGGTGGCTGCTCCCCTCCCCTTCCCTGAGCCCAGGCTTGCAGGCAAAGGACTGGGGGTGAGTTAAATTCCTTAGCAAAGGTCAAG